AGATGGCTAGGGCTCTTGATTCTGATGATGATCGTGCTGTTGGAGAGCTGACGGAGAGTGATGTTGAGATGATGAGACGTATCTTTCCCGACCGCTGTGATCCTAGAGTTCATGAGTTTAGTGATCTTGTTCATTCTGATATGGCGTTTGCAGAAGGACGTGATGATGAGCTCCTAGAAGCTCCTGAGGCCGGTCCTAACATGGTAATTGAGGAGGGGAGGGTGTTCAATGACCTCCCTACTTTGAAGAGGTGGTTGCGGGCTTTTTGCGTTGATAATGAAAAGAGGCCTTTACAGGTATTGCATTCATATGTGGAGCGCCGTTACACGATTGTGTGTGACAAGGAACGCTGCCCATGGAGGGTTTGTGCAAGGAAGCAACAGGTGACCGGAAAATGGAAGATCACAAAAGTAGTTGGGCCACATAATTGTGCTGACCATGAGCTGACACTGAGGCATCGACAGTTGACATCTGCCCTAATTGCCAAGAGGTTGATGGGAATTTTGCAGGGAGAACCCAACATGAAGGTGAGAACAATTATCAGGACCGTTGAGGCGTTGTATGGAGGATATGTGATAACTTATGGTAAAGCATGGAGGGCTAAGCAGCGAGTGTGGAACATGATATATGGGGACTGGGAGGATGGGTATGAGCAGCTGCCAGTTCTTTTCAATGCAATCAAAGCGGTGAATCCAGGCATGCATTATGAGTACATCCCAAAACCTAATGCATGGAAGGATGGGAGGCAGATATTTTTCCGTGCCTTCTGGTGCTTTCCTCAGTGTGTCGAGGCCTTTATGCATTGTCGTCCCGTCTTCTCCATTGATGGTACGTTCTTGATTGGCAATGTCGTCCTCATCCTCGTCTCCATCATCACACAGCACAATCGATGATTGAACGGTGCGACCAGCTCGTGATCTATGGCATCTAACTTCTTCTCCTCATATCTTGCACGAGCCACCTCTGCAGCATGTTCCCCGCTGCAACCAATCCCTTGATGTATAAAATGCAATCATTTAGCAACTCGATAATATTACATTTAAAACCAGGCAACGAAAAAAGGTTTTCAAGCACTCTTCGGCACATAATGTAGCAACATGCTCGTCCAAGACCTGCATCGTACTCTTGTCTCCTCCCTTGCCTCATTCCTGCCCCTCTCTCCTCCTCTAACGTCGTTCGCCTCTTCAATCCCCATTTGTTAAGCCCAACATCGATCGGGTTACAAATACCGCTGTTATCTAGCAAACTCACACATCTTTTCTTTGTGATGTTTAACGAATAGGTTGGCGTAGTCGGTCTATATCCCTCTTCCGTGCAATTACTTGCCTCTTTTTGAGTTCATCCAAGAACTTAGCTTGACCATCATAACATTCCCAAGCTGCATTTCCTAGTGCTCTGTTCAAAACAAATATTATATCATATATGTATTAGGAAAACAAACAAAATACGATTTCATGTTTACGAATTATAACAAACCTCATCATACTCAATCATATGGCGCAATAATGACCTATTCCAAGCTCGAAGGACTAGGCCATAGTTGGATTTTACACCACATTCGCACATGACAGGAGGTGCTTTGTAGATTACACGTTCTTTCTTCTTTTCCTTAACCCTCCGCGGTTCTTAGGCCATTGGTTCTTAGGACCATACAACCACTCCTTGAAACGACACTTTGCCATTGAATACACCTAAATAATGAGACATAAGTACATAAACACATATAGCTCAAGATTTTAACACATACACTTTGCACTTACTTCATGCTTGTTTGGACACACAAACTCCAACGTATTCTCGTGGTTTATCACATTTCGATCTCCGCAATCGCATACAGAGGAGGTTCCTCGAGTCGTCTAACGGCTGACTAGGTGCTTCTCCTTAGCCGTCATTGCGGAGGGTTAGGGGGGTGGAACCCACCGCTTGAAGTGATCACGTGGATGTCTCCCTCTAAACCAATCGTCGAAAAAGAGGTACCTAGGATCAAACTTTTCTACACCATCGATCCACTGAAAGAAAAAGCACCTCTCATGGTCCTACACAACGAGATTCCAATAATATATTAGTACCATACTTAAACAAATAAAAAAAGGATAGTACAAATAATTTCTTACATTAAACCGACTACATGTGTAGAAGCAACACCTTGTTGTGTCCGGATGTTTCGATTGAAAAACATGGGCGGGAAACCACAATCCTGATTAGGGACCGGGAAGGTCGAGAGAGCAGCAGGGGCATCTTTGCTAGACAGCGTCGGGGTATAATTTGCGAGGACGACCCGTTTTGCCAAAACTCCTCGAAACATTTCTTGCATCTAACAAATAGGATGTAATTTAGCAAACATAAATAAAAACATCACAACAAAATATCGGTGAGAACCATAACTACAATACAATCAATTTCGTTATAAGAACCAAAAGCGATTAACATTATACCCTAAACCTAGGGTTTCTTATTCATCCACAACAATAAAACCCATAACATAACTACATGCGGCTTGGTTTGCTAGTATTTTTCACGCCTTGAAATGAACCTACAGTTGTATAATACATATATTGAGGGATACAATGAAACCCTAAGTGATGACGATTCTTAGGTTCAAAAATCCGACTAATATATACCGAATCGATCTGAAAAAATAAGGAGGGGGCGAGGATACCTTGCTCTCGAAGATCTACTGGATCAAATCAAGGTTTTCAAGGTCCAATATGTCGATTCGTGAGGTAGGATGAAGTGGCGAGAAAAAACCCGAGGAGAAAGAATAGGAAGAACGCTTTCGGGGAAGAAGGTGGGACGGGGGTTAAATGCAGTAGCTCGGCGCCATAGTGAGTGGGCGCCGAGCTGGCGCCAAGATCTCTGGGCGCCGAGCCCCTTGAGCCGTTTGCAGTGGCAGGGCTGAGCTTCGGCCTGACAGACACCGTGGCGAGAGCTCGCTGGCCACTCACTCAAGGTGTTGAGCCGAGGTCCATTCTGGAATTCTTTCCGCCAGGGGTCTATTTGAGAGAAACTTTCGAAAGCTCGGCGCCACTCACTCTGGCGCTGAGCCAAGGGTCCATTTCTGGAATTCTTTCCGCCAGGGGTCTATTTGAGAGAAACTTTCGAAAAAAGGGCCAAAAAGTAAAAAATTCGGAATCCATGAGCGCTCATTGCTGGGACTGCTTCTGGAGTTCTGGGACGACAAACAACGAAAAATCAGAAGGTGCCACAGCCGGAAACATGGCGAGGCGCTCCTTTTTCCCCAGAGCCCAGACCCAACACGTACCGCTGCCGGTGACGATCTGCTCAAAGTGCCGGTGTCCCCATGGGTGCTCCATGCTCCAGGTTCCGTCGTGCAGGGGCAAGCAAGGGACGACACCGCAGCCCCAAACGCAGCTGCTCGCCACTCGCCGCGGGGATGCTCGTCGGAGGTGCCGGGAGCTCACCTCATGAAGACGGACGAACAAGAGCAGACCGGAATGGCGGAGTCGCCAGAGCATGAATCGGCGGCAGATCCAGAACAGGAGCCAGACCGACGCCAGCTGCGACACTGGTGGATGAATCGGCATATGCAGCGAAGAGCAGCGCACTGCAGGCCGAAGGACGGCGGATGGTGTGAGTTCTGCAGGCGGACGGAATGTCTGTTGCAGGCCGAAAATGAAGCAATGTGATTGATCCGGAAAAAAAAGAAGCAACGTGATTAGAAGGGACCCATGCGGTGGATGAATGGACGGAGTAAGGGATTGAATCACGGCATGACTCCATGCAAGCATTGATTAGAAGGGGACCACGGACGACCAAACCAAAGCCACGCGCCGGTGACCATGGTTCGCTGGTGATAGTTTTGGTCACATATATATATATATATATATATATATATATATAGACACACACACGGCTACGTCTAGGATCCGGAAGATCGCTCGGAGCCCGTAGTGCCGTGCAGATACGGAAGCTCGCTTGGAGCCCGCAGTGCCATGCATATACGGCTTGCGTGCTTGAGTTTTTTTTTGTTTGTCTTTCTTCTCCTTTTTCTTTCTTTTAACATACTCCTAATAATATATGTATAAATGCATATATTATAAATAAGTATATAGACAGAGAGACATATGTAGATTTGGCATGAGTTCAACTTGTTGATCTATTTAACGTCTAATGCGACCTGGTTAATTTAAACAATCTGGTACTTATTTTACAACTAAAAAATAGGAAAGGCTTTCATCCAACGCATCTTCGCGGGCGCGGCTGTCCGACACTCGATCGGGTCCATCTTGGTTTCCTCCATACCGTGAAATGCGTAAATAGAATATGGAAACAGAAAAAAAATGCATCGTCACCCGACGATACTAGGTCTCGACATCCTCACGTGTGTCCGATACGAATCATCATTTACTCGGAGCTTACGCATCCATGTCCTATCCAGTTCCGATACGAAGAACGAATCCACGTATCCACGTCCGATACGATACGAAGAACGGATCCACGTATCCGCGTCCGATACGATTTTTATTATTTTATGCAAATCCATCGCCGTTGGTGTCAACAAAAAATTCGTGCGCAAGGGTATTTATCCAGTGAATGAAAGAATATGCATAGATTGTTTGTAGTTAACTGGCACTAGCTCTAGCAGTATCACATCCTATGCTGAACAATGTGTATGTGGCAGAAGGATGTGATCATGTGAACCAAGCCATATTTGAGTTGTTTTTTCTGGTCTCCCCCTTTCCTAAAGCTCAACGTCTCAAAAGTCCTCAACAGACTCTTCCACTCCATGCAGTTATTTCAGAATTGACCAAATCATTTCACACTCTATGCACTTACGCTGCCCCTAGATCAAACGTGCCAAACCCCAACCACACAACAATGCTACCACATACCAGAATTTTCAACCCCGAATGCAAGCAAGCCAGCATCTCTCTAGCATATCCCAATGGGGAATCCAGCAGTGAAAGGCTCCAGAGAAAAATGCTGGGTCAAAGTTCGGTCATAGCATATATTCCAAGTTCAGAATCACAATACTGTCATTATCTCATAGTTGAGGTTGATTCATCATGGGCCGATAACCACCAGTCCACCACATTCCTCTGGAATCTTTTGTTCCTGTTGAACTTCCTGGTTGTAACCAACAGGTCCTCAACGAGAATAGGAATCTAAACAAAAGGCAAGGAGATCATGGTCTGATCAGCTGAATTTCATGAGTGGTGCACCGACAAACTTCGTGGAAGTCAGTCAGCTACTTACTGTGCCTGGGTCCATTTTCACCCAGCGTAAAAAAACGATCAAACGCTACTGAGCACGGACAAGCCAGATACAGATCGAATTGACGACAGGCACTGCATAAGTGACCGGCACAAGCTGCTCTTTGATGCAACTTCCAATCCCTATGCCCGAAAACAATTTATACTATTACATAAGCAACTGTACAATGCATATTTGCTCAGCATCGATTCGCAACAACCTGGACACCCGTCACCTGTGACCCAACTTAGAAAAGAACGGTCCTTTTTGGCAAAGAGAAAAATATAGCAAACAGAAAATAATTACCCCACAACACCGGGAAAACATATGACATATCTGCCCTCAAAAGAACCTTTTTTTTTTCCTAATAACAAAAGAGAAAAACCTGTATATGTCAATTCGGACTCGGACTGCCCAAGAATGCAGCGCAAATCCAAAATGTAGAAGACAGAAAAGGCACATGGATTGCCAGAATTTGAACATGGTTGAAAAATAAAGATAGCAAGACATTGGTGCCTTTCCTAGTTCAGATTTACTACACTAAGCAAGGCTGCAAGGAACAGACCAGGTCATGTTTCAACAATCATCCAGAAGATCGCCAGATTCTTCCTTCAAGTGAGATTACCATAACAGAAACATCATCATGGTATTTCCGGCGATCACCCTGGGGGATATCCAGTAACTCGTGAAAATTCATTCCTGCATGTATCATTAAAAAAATGACTTAGCTATAAATACAAATTTATTTTCTATTGCCATCAACAATTAAGATTTCAAAAGTACTTTCATAGTCTTATTGCCATCAATAATTAAGGCAGAGGCAGAACTGACCATTCTTCTTGGCTGCACGACAAAGAAGTTCAGCTACAAGGTATTGCGCTGGGTCTCCCTCTGGTACATTTTCCATGAACCACAACACATGCGAAACTACCTCGTCATTGCTGAAATATTGATACAATCCATCTGACGACAATACAAGAAACCGATCATTTGCGCAGAGACGATGGTGAAGTACAGCAGGGTTGCAGCTGATATATGGTGATGTTCCAACATAGTCGATGCGGAACATCTCAAGTAGTGCCTCGTTAAATTTTGGCTGCAACAGGCAAAAAAGACAACTCAACCAATTGAACAGAAGATTATGTTGCAACAAAATAAACATCTTTTGCCTCTTGAAAGTACTGAGATCATCCTATACCAATGGAATTTTTATTTGAAGTTTAGTTAAACAAATTAAGAAAAAACTACTGCCACAATTGTCCATAAAATCTGTTCATCTTCAGTTATTTGACCACCAGACCTAGCCTCTTCTGCCCTTTGCGTGGTTATCAAGGCAATAAGGGATGGCTACATTCTAACCGCCACCTTGAAATCTAGGCACTGTAGGTGTGCGTGCTCTAATGTCATATGAACCAGCATGGAGCCCTCTGTTAGTCTGCTGTGTACACTAGCCTTGATCAAACCCCAGACAAATACATACCAAGTTTCCATTATTTAACACAAACAGCACAGAAACAATTGAAGGATGTGGTTCTGGCATGAGAGGCACATCGCACCTCAGCATGATAAAAAAATGAAAGACTACTGACATAGTCACATAATTGTTTGACATACTAAGATAGGACAAATTATCAGTCATAGGCATGTAAGGTCATATGAACTTACCTTCTTTAGAAAACCAGCACCAAATGCTCTAGTAACCTTCAGCTGTCCCTTTACTCTATCATTAAAGACAGCTTGGGGATCATCAGGATGTTCTACTTTAATCCTCAAGACTTCCTGAAGTGCATCATCACAAAATAAACTGAATGGTTAAACAAATTGTAGCCAGTAGTCACCATTGTAATAGTTCAAGGTAGAACGCTAACCGGATTTAACAATGAAATTTGAAAGAGTAAGTTACATGCTTTAACAAGAAATGTCAAATGTGACTGGATGAACCAACTGGAGGATTTGTTCTGAGCAGGAATGAAGAAGATATTGAAAAAAAAAAACTAATAGTCTTATATCCTCTTCTATGGTTTTTGAGGCGCTGCCTAAGTGTTGAGGTGTACCCCAGCCCAGGCGCCACAAAGTTTTGTCACGCCACATCGCCTTGGCATCCAGGCGTACCCCCAGCACCACAGGATGCCTCAAAAACCATAACCTTAGCTACAGAAACCAGACTGATTCATTCAAAGACATTTCTAGAAGATGAAAGATATGCCTGATTTCATTTACATCAGGACGTAATAAACAGCGCCAATTAGACACCCTTCCAAATTAATGTCTCCAGGTGTAAAACACTGGACGAAAGTACATAAAAACGGCACTTACAATCTAAAGATCGGGCAATATAAGGCCAGCATCAAACTAGTGAGCAATAAGTTCTCTAGATGCTAAAATGATAATAATGTGAACCCAGGCAGTTTAAGAAGAAACTAGTAGTGATGGCTCATTTCTCTGCTGCAATGTCCAGCACAAAAAATGAATGTTGAAAGGTTGCAAAAGATTACCTTTCGGATAACTGCAAATTTATAAATCAATTGGTAAGAATTCATAAAGAGAAAACAATTAAATGGAAGTTAGCACTAGACCTCTCGTCATCTATGAGCTTACATGCAAATAAACTAGGTTGTGGTCTGTAGATCTCTTGTAAAGGATGTACAGAACAATTGTAGCTAGCAAGGTATACTAATGTTCAATAATCAATATAGCAATCCTTATATTTCAAAATTTATTTTAGATATGGAATTTGGTATATTGGACAAACAGAAATATTAGAGTCAACATTTTGTTTTGAAGAACTTATTTAGCAGTTCCTGCATAGCTAAATTAGTGAGTAAGCTCAACTGATCATGTTAGATAACTCAAAGAAGTCAGCCTGAGACTCTATCTAGCTGGTTGCTGTGGAACACATAAACGACTGTGTGGTCAATGGCGTTTCTCCAAGCCTAGTTACAGCCCTTTGTCTTGCTGGGGAGGAATCTCAGCTTTGGTGAACGGCATGAGCTAAGGGGCTCTCTTTCCTTACTGCTCCTAGCTCGGGTTTTTAAGTTCATTGGGTCGGGTCGTTCTTCTCTCTCTTCAAAGCGGCAATTATAGCTTTATCATGACAGTGGGTGTGTGTGTGTGTGCGTGTTGTAACTCTCTTCTTCTATTGATGCAATGATACACAGCTCTCCAGCATGTTCAAGAGAAAAAAAAAGACTATCTGGCTGCAGTTGAGGACAAAAGGGCACAGTGATTTGCATGTATTCACTGGCACAAGTTTTGAGCAAGAAGTCTATAAAAGGGCAGGGCAGACCTAGTGCCGGAGGCTCCCACATGAGTGGGGTCTGGGGAAGGGAAAAACCGAGGCAAGCTCCTTCACTGGCACAAGTTTTGAGCAAGAAGTCTATGGTCAATTCATTTCAACACGTGGTGATGATGGGCCAAACCAGTACTTCAAAAAGTTCGGTAGCTGGTGACTGGTGAGTTTGAATATTTTTGACCAACTGAAAGGAATAGTATCTAAAAAATCACAGAAGCACATATAAGAGCTAGAGCATAATGTTTATTTTCTAAATAACTTTTTTCCAATTGCTAATTTCCTGTTAACTGAACTACTTACCAATACTTTGAAAACCACAATATCATGATTTTGCAGTATCAAGTAAAATATTTGGATAGGGCAGCTCCAATGGTAGCTCAAAGCATATTGTTTCATATTTTAATAGAAAAGAGAGAAAAGCTAGCTCTTGATCAAGAGCTAGCTCATACACACATTTCGAGATTGTATGAAGATGTTACGTGGGTCTACACATGTTATGAGATATACCCTAAAAGTTAGTATTATTGGAGAGGTTGTCTTAGAGCTAGTAACTAGCTCATACCATTCTTGGTACCCAGAGGTGTTGACTCTAATACAATCGATTCTATCAAATTCTGTGCCACAGCCAACTCGAATCAAGAGACTACATATTTTAGCATCGCTGTATTAACTAAGGCACACCGCACAACTAGAAGTTATTATATCGTATCGCTGTTTCCTCAAGGAAATAAAGAAAATTGATCAAAAGAATTGCTAAATCTATGGATTGGTAGATGAAGAACTCAAAGTCAAATATGTATATGATAGCAGATGCCATTAGGAAGTGAAAACAAGAATAGGATTTGTTTAACAGAATTATTACCTCCTCAATACTCGTGCTATGGTCAGTTGACAGTTGCACTGCCCTCATTTTTAATCTACAAATTGAGAGTTCCTTAGCTTTTGTATTGCTGTTTAGGTGGCTGTTAGGATTATGCATCGGCGACTCTTCTGATATCCTATCAAGTTCGACACGGACAAGTGACTCCCTTGACCTGTTTCGATGTCGTAAATCTCCTTTTGAGAAACTTGAGCTATTGTACTGATCATTGTCCTGTGCCAAGATTGCTCGGCTATCCCCAAGATTCATGACATATACATCCTGGTCCTTCATCAACATTACAAGGACACATGAACCCATTAATGCAAGCTCTGGATGTCTATCAAGCTCCTTTTCCACAATTTCCATGTATGCTTCCTCTGTTGTTTCAAGTGCTCGTGACATTGCCCTCAATACAGCATCATGCTCTACTGGCCCTGACTTACATCTCCTAGCGACTTCTGAAGATTTTATAACACTTTCATCAACATGAGGTTGATCTCTGTGCCAATCATAGTTCCATGGGAAAAACTTCTGCAACATTTTTTGCTTTTTGTACATCTTCCTCAACTTTGATCCGAATACAAATCTTCTCGTAACTTGCTTGTGCCCTGATGAAGATGTAGACATTGAACACCCTGTACACTCTTTAAGATCTGTGCCAAGTACACTATCAGCATGTCTTGAACTTCCAAGATCTTCAGAATCATCAAAACATTCTCCAGTTGCTGCCAATGAACACCTGGAGATCTCAGCTGCGTTTCTTGAGCTCCCTTCTACAGTGCCTTCCTGTGCAACATGCAAGCTCGGTATTTTCCTTTTCTCTGGTGACGCCTTAGATAACCTTTTGTTATAATCTTCTAGCAGTTCCATCTCAAGAAGCTCAAAAAGACGCTTACTCTTTCTGTTTTCTTTCAAGAACTTGGCATGCTGATCACAATAGGCACTGGTTTCTGTTGCACAGCTACAGCTGGTGTAAAGATCTGCACCTGAAACACTTCTGTTCGAGTTGTGAGATTCTCTGTTTTGGAGATCATTTCCCAGATCAGCTCCAGCCATTTCCTCAACTATCTCATCCCTGCCCAACTTCTCACTACTTGAATCCTGTGCAGTCAAATCTTTCTCTTCACAGCCGGTACAGTTTGGTTGAACTTGCAAGGCACTTTCATCACCACCCTTTCCAGGTGAGACATTTTGTTTTCCAAAATTACCAAGTTGTTCCTGTTTCCCATTGTCACTCTGGAACCGGCCACTATCACCATGAGGAGCATCCACAGAAGCAGCAACTGATTCACCCTCTTCAAGATTAGATACATGGTCACACCTTTCAGAGCTGTCTTCGTAAATCCAGAGCAGTCCTTCCAGTTCTTTATCAATGGCCCTGTATAGATTGCTCATTAGAAAGTCAGGTGCATCAGGGCCACTAAAACCATCATAAATTCCAATGAACAGCCATCCTTGCTCTTCAGATAGAACAACATGAACCCTATCTTCCCCTGCCTTTCCATGAGCCCACTGAAGGTTCCTCGTCACATTATACTCAGGTTCAGGTATCCCAGCTTCCAACCCATTCTGTGAGCCTTCTGATCTGGACTTTGCGTCCCTTGCCCAGGGCAGTTGAGACATTGGATGCATCAGAAACTTCTGAACCCAGCCTGGATTCTGTGAGCTCCTGCTGAATGTTCTGGACAATGCGGTTTTCATGGGTCTGCTAATCCTATGTACAAGAAGCCCCAGACGAGCCTTCCTCCGGCCATACGAAAGAGGTGCTGAGAAGTTGCTTCTGCTGCCAGCATCGATGGGACCTGACATGAAGGCTCCTCCCTTGTCCAATGGCCCAGACATGAAGCCGGAGCCTTTGTCAAGCGGGCCGGACGCGAATCCTCTCTCCAGCGGCCCCGACAGGAAGGTGTTGAGTGGCCCCGACCCTCGCGGCACCGGCTGCAAGGGCACGGCGGCGAAGGAGGCGGTGCTCTCGAACGCGGCGGCGGGCTCCTGCACGTCACCGGCAAGGGAGACGGTGAGGTTGCCCGTCCTGGCGGAGGACGCGTTGGCGCTGACGGAGGCCCCCGAGATGGTCCGGAAGGTGGTCTCGCCGAAGCTCCTGCAGGGCCGCTGCAGCCCGGCGGCCGCCAGGTCGTCGGCGGGCTCGTGGCGGAAGGACCCGCTGCGGGTCTCCGAGTCCATGACGCTAGAATCGAGCGTGTAGCGCTCGGAGTTGGAGGGCGTGATCGCGGGCGAGTCGGCGACGGCGCCCGGGCGGACGTAGCAGAAGGAGTGGCCGAGCCCTTCGTCGAGCTGCTCGAGGAAGTCGAGGTCGACGCCGCCGGCGGCCTTGTCGGGCGGCGCGAAGCAGCCGACGACCCGGGACGTGCTGTTGCCCATGGCCGGGCGGGCGGGCGGCTGGTGGCGCCGCTGCGTCTCAGCACCCCGCGGGAAGAGCGCGCCCCAATGCCCGTCGCCGAGGGCCCCGGGCGGCCGGCAGCATGAGCAGGCGGACGCCGGCGCACGGCGAGAAGCGGTCCCCGAGCTGGTGCCCCACTCCCCGGGCCAACCGCCCTCGCATCTTAGGCCGCCGCCCACCGCCTGGTCGAGGAAATGCCCCGGCACCGCAACCCCATGCCAGAACCCGCCGCCGCCGCTACCGCACCACCACCACCACCACCCGCCGCAAACTCGCAGCAACCGATCAGGCAGGCACGGAGCACGGACAGCAGCGCCTCCCGCCTCCGCACGAGACCTCCCGGCGGATCCGGAATCTGGCCGGCGGCGAGCGAGCGAGCGAGCGACGGGATCGAGGAATGGGGGATCTACGCGGGGTGGATGCCTGGCTGCGGCGAGCGCGGAGAGGGGCGGCCTCGCTCCAGAGGTCCTCGGGGTCGGGGGGGTTTTGGTGCGATTTGAAATGGGTTGGGACTTGGGAGGGGGGGACGGGAGGAACGGGGGACGGACGGAGGAAAAGGTGGGCAATGGAATCGTTGGAAGCTGTGTTGTGTGTTTGAGCGACCGAGGGAGGAAGTGGAGTGGAGCGCAGACCCGCAGTGGAGTGGAGACGAGAGAGGGGGAGTTGGTGCTGCTTTTGGCTTTCGTTCCTGTTTAGTTTCTACGGCGGGCGTTCCTAAAATTTCTATCACATCGAATATTTAGATATATATATGAAGTATTAAATATAGATTAATTATAAAACTAATTATACAACATACGATTAATTTGCGAGACGAATCTTTTAAGCCTAATTAATCCTTAATTTGACAACGTTGTGCTACAGTAAACATATGCTAATGCTAAATTAATTAGGTTTAAAAAAATCGTCTCATAAATTAATCTCTATCTGTGTAATTGGTTTTGTAATTAATCTATATTTAATACTTTTTATTAGTATCTAAATATTCAATGTAACCTTAATTTTAGGAGCGACCAAACCAAACACCCCCTTCCTCCTCCTCCGCCGCCGTCTGTCCGGCCGGCACGCAGCACGCTAGTCGTCACTAGGGGCTTGCTTGCTCTTTGCACGCTGGTCCCTCGCCGCCTCTCCTGTTTTGGTCGCTTCTTCTTCTTGTTTGTTTCGTCTCTCTCCTTTTAGGATGTCCCCCGCCCCATTTTTCTTACGAAAATAAACTAATTTCTATAAATATGTTTTATTTCTACAAAATTGCTGCGTTTCAGTAATTTAACTGCCTGATGTTTTGCTTCCAGTTCTTTTGGTTTAGCAAGGATTTTCTAGATTTTTTATGCATAATAATTTGTGGGTCCTAGTTTTCATTTCTGATCTGAAATTGCTTCACGAGGTAGGCCGGGTTTTGCCTTATTGATTACGCTACGCCATTTGCCCCCCTTTTTATTAAATTCCCATCTGAAAATGAGGGAAACCCCCCCACCTTATAGGTCCCGTTCATCTGTCCTTAAAATCAGTTGGAATTCACTGTTTATGGTTGAAAAATACTGTTCACTCTCTCATAAATTTTTCCAGATCCCCTCAGTTTCTTGTTCTAGAAGGGCGGGCCTGATGCAGGCGGTAGAGTCTTACTGCCTGTGACCGGAAGGTCTTGGGTTCGAGTCACAGTCTCCTCACATTGCATAGGCAAAGGTAAGGCTTGCCACTAACCCCCTTCATTAGACCCCCACACAGAACGAAAATTCTCTTACACTGGGTACGTCCTTCTATAGTTTCTTGTGCGACCAAACAATATTCAACCTTTCTTGTGCGACCAAACAATATTCAACGTCTGATACAAGTCACAGTCTTCTTGGTGCAAAAAAGTCTCACTCGACATGCATGTCCATTCTCATACTCTACCATGGCCTTGTTTAGTTGGTGATTTTTTTTGAAAAATAGTACTGTAGCACTTTCGTTATTATTTGGTAATTAGTGTCCAATCATAATCTAATTAGGCTTAAAAGATTCGTCTCGTGAATTTCGTCTAAACTGTGTAATTAGTTTTATTTTTTATTTATATTTAATTTTTCATACATGTGTCAAAGATTCGATGTGGCGGAAAATCTTAAAAAAATTTACAAAATTTTGGAAACTAAACATGCACCATGTTAGCAGAAAACAGTCTGGAGGTAGCACCGTAGCAGCAAAGTTCTTGCTTGCTTCAAACCGATGGCAGGGCAGGGGGTCCTGCTTTCTTTTTGGCTTTTAATGTTTTCCTCCCTACTACGGCCGGCCTTTTTTTATGTTTTGGGCTACTGCCATTTTTTTTTTTTTTTGCTCCCCTGTGACGAGGTGGTGTCTCTATTGCCTATTGTTTTCTTTCATCATTGTATTTGGTGGTGCTGCCTGCGAGAGTCAAAGCAAAGAAAAAGAGCAGGCTGGAGCTGGAGGGGCCCCTCCTGGCCGCCTTCATCATCATCATCGTTGCCATGATACGGATGGAGACGGGTGCAGAGGCTGGACTCCGGGGTTTTGCTCACATCCGGAAAACATTCCTAAATCAAGCATGCTTTGCATATCAGGAGTCCTTAAAGTCAAGCCTCTGCTATAAAATCTTCTACGTACAAGACTACAAGCCCATCCCATCATCTATCTTATCTACTACTCCTGCTTGTGCAAGTGTGTATACATCATCTTGGTTGTAATGAAAACCCTTTTGACAATATAAGTTGAAAATGTTCAAATAACCCTTTTGTTGTGGGGCTTAATTGGATTGCTGCCCTAACGAGCCAAGCCAAATTTAACTAGAACCCTAGAAAATATATTGGTAGGAATCTTTTTGCCAATGTTAGGCGCGTGTGTCGGGAGAAATTTTGTAGCGACACTGGATAAACCATGTTTGCTTGAACTTATCAGTCTGGCTTATCAGCCATGATATAGTGTGTTTCTCTCACAACAAATCATCGAACAAAGACTTTTCACTGCTTTTCAAATAAAACTAACAGTAGGCGTTTCAAGGATTCATTAGTCATCTGTACTACAGTTTAGCGCGACTTCGCTTCATACGCTATCACATATCAAATTGTCATTTATTGTTTTGGACTTTAAAGTCTTTTATACCACTTATAAAAAAAAGTTATTGCATATCAATCAAGCTTGTATTGGATTTGTGACCCTTTTGGACTGTTTTTATTTCTTATAATTTTATCTACGGAACAGGATCACGTTTGTCTAGTGTCGCTCTCAATTTTACTGGACTTAACCATGGCTACATTCCCCCCGCACGTTTTCCCTAATTAATTGGCACGTCTATAAACCAAGCGTCATTCACCTTTTTCTTTTATGCTGAAATTTAACTTGTACTGATACTTATGCTGAAATATTGTGAGAGAAAAAACAATATTCGTGACTGAAAAGTACAGTTGAAGTAGTGTCAAAAAAATTGTTCATGGCCAAAATTATGTTGGGCTATAAACCGGCCAAGACAAGCCCTATGTATTTGGATTTATTGCATGCTTATTTGATATTTCTGCTGCAAATTCGTCCAGGTCAATTTTTTAAAAGAAAAAAAAAGAAAACAGGGCAGAGACCATGTTTTAAATGTAAACCTTGCAGAATGCACTACTACTACCGCGTACTGGTGCTCGTTGTTGTCGACTCATTGGCCCTGTTTGTTTGAGCTATTTTTTAGTTTAGAATAATATTTTTCTTTCACAACATTTCAGTATAAGTATCAGCATAAGCTAAATTTCAGCATAAGCGAACAGGGCCATTAACTCATTATCGATGAATTTAGTTCTGTCCTCAAGTCAGCCTGTTCGTTTAGCTTGTGCTTGTCGTATACGATCGTAAATTTCTAGCTGGAATATTATTTTTCTCTCACACAAACCAGCCAGCAGTACTTTTTTACGAATCAGCAACGATACGAACCAGCCAACCAAACAGGCTGTTAGTCACTAGTAGACAACTTGTTTAAGCAACTAACCTGATTCGCATTCACACGGAAATCAGACAAAAGTTGGTGGTGATCCAGTAGTAAACTAGTAATTACTACATAGAAAATGTAAAACAAAGGCAATAAACTAGTGCACGTCGAGAGGTAAAAGACAAGTCCCAACACGCATGTGAGACAATGATGGGGCGTCAATATTGAACATTTCGGTCAAAACTTAGAATCTGTACGCATTCAATACGGCATGTTCGCTGATTGGTTTCTGGGTTGGTTTGGGCTGGCTGGTGCTGATTTGTTGTGAGAGAAAAATACTGTTGACTGACTAGTTTGGGCTGGTTGAAACCAACAAGCAAACAGGATGATCCACACTCAGCGTTCGCATATATGTGCCTAAAACAAAGTACTCCCTCCATTTATCCTATAAGACGTTTTGTTTTTCTAGATGTATTATTTTCTTTATGTATCTCGATATAGTGTAGACAAGCCCTATGTATTTGGATTTATTGCATGCTTATTTGATATTTCTGCTGCAAATTCGTCCAGGTCAATTTTTTTAAAAGAAAAAAAAGAAAACAGGGCAGAGACCATGTTTTAAATGTAAACCCTGCAGAATGCACTACTACTACCGCGTCCTGGTGCTCGTTGTTGTCGACTCATTGGCCCTGTTCGCTTAAGCTATTTTTTAGTCATAACAGTGTTTTTCTCTCACAACATTTTAGCATAAGCATCAGCATAAGCTAAATTTCAGCATAAGTGAACAAGGCCAATTAACTCATTATCGATGAATTTAGTTCTGTCCCCAAGTCAACTGAGTCACTAGTAGACAACTTGTTTAAGCAACTAACCTGATTCGCATTCACACGGAAATCAGACAAAAGTTGGTGGTGATCCAGTAGTAAACTAGTAATTACTACATAGAAAATGTAAAACAAAGGCAATAAATTAGTGCACGTCGAGAGGCAAAAGACAAGTCCCAACACGCATGTGAGACAATGATGGGGCGTCAAGATTGAACATTTCGGTCAAAACTTAGAATCTGAACGCATCCATAATGTG